ATTTTAACTTCAGGAATTCGCATATGTATATTTTCATAAATATTTTATGTATTTTGTTATAGGTTTTTCTTCTACAGAAAAACGGAATTCCTAAATAAACACATTTGCCAGAAACGGTTGCAGGCTCGGTTGAATTGAGGCTTTTCTAAAAGTTTCTCATATAACAGCTATTTAAGTACGCAGATTTATTTAAACAACTTGTATGCTTTATTCGTTTACAATTAAAACATTATTAAATATTAACACATTTAAGAATTAAAGCTTCAAGACATATGATGATAGAGAGTACAGTATTTTATAAATTGAAAAACAAAATCAACACAATGGCACAAATCATTTCTTTGAACTCGTTTAGTTATTTAATCATTAATTACAATTTTGGTGATAAGTGATAAGTTACGCAATATTAAAGAGGCCAAGTAAAGTTTGAGCTTAAGTATGTTAGAACTCATCCGTAGCTGTTCTACAAGAGCACGGATGATAGAACTTATTTAGTGATAGTGAGTGCCTTGAAAAGTTACTAGCGTACAGCAATATAAGATGAGCCTGTGTTAATTCGATCTACTGATTGTATGACAAATAAATAAACAGAGAATAATGAATTAGTGTAGGTTCTGTATACTGAATTTACTGAATGAGTTTAAAAAATGTTAATATGCGAAAACGTGTATACATTTAGAAGATCTAGATCTAAATAAGAAATTGTCTATTTATTTGACTACAAAACGCCACCATTTAGCGTGACGTTGCACCACTATGACGTCATATGTTTTACGACCTAGCCATAAAGTTTTTGTTTCATTATAAATGAAAGGAACGCCATAATTTGATCAAAACAATTACATGCAATTTATGAATTTATCTCATATCCAAGATAGCATTTTTCCACAAACGCCACAACCAAAACAATCAATTTCTTATAAAAGGTATTGAAGGTATCAGCAATAAATGAGTGACATTGAAATTTGCTTCCAATCGGATTTGGATTTCGATGTTATTATCCATGCCTGAAACCTTTAATGCCAAACAGCTCATGCGCGTAATAATCTTTATGAAAGAACGGTTGTAAAAAATACTACGCTACTATGAAAATAGTATTTACGAATTATGTTAGTGTTCATCCGTGCTCTTGTAGAACAGGTACGGATGAGTACTAACATACTTAAAGTCAAACTTTATTTGGCCTCTTTAATAGTCCTTTCATTGCGTAACTACCTGTCTGCTTTATTAAATTTGATCTTATAAATATGCATGGTTTACGTCACTTTGCGTGCAAAGACGCAGTTTGGAAATATGGATGACGGCATAAATTATGGCCGATGCAAGTTTTCATTGGCTCGATTTTAAAGCATTTTACTTTGGAGGACTTTTTTGATGAGTTTGATAATTGATACTAAGTAGCAAATATTTGATACGATTTACACATATATACACTAAATATCATGTGTTAACCCGAGGTCACGTAATGTATTCAAAAAGAAAAACATAATATGTGACTTATGTACTTTCTCTTTAAAACTGTCTGTCGAAAACAAGAAAGTGAATAGACACACATGATTTTCCTCTCAGTATCAAATAAATTAAATATAAATTGACATTTCGTATTGGTCTTTACTATTACATGTGCAATATATTTTTACTTAGACGTGGATTTAAATCTGAAAATCTTTTATCAATAAATACAAAATTTATGGAGGTTGGCCTTTTGACGTCTTTTTACTTAACTTATATTAAAAAACGGCGTGCAAACTTGACTATGAAGCACATGACTATGAATGGAATTTGATGTAGTATTGATTTCTCTTTTTTTAAGTATATGTTAATGTTCATTCGTGCTGAAAGGATATGTTAATGTTCATCCGTGCTGAAATTATAAGCTTCGATGGGAGCGATAGCGACAGGAGAATGTTTCTAATTTCTGTAGAACAGCTACGGATGTATACTAGCATACTTGTGTGGCGTCATTTTCATTCACTTTAATTCGCCACTTTGTGGTTCTTTGAACTCAATGAAAAAATAGAAAGCGACTATGAGCGAATTCGATATAGTATCGACTTTTGTACTTCTATGAAAATTAACACATAGCATTTTTAAGAAATACAGCCTTTTCAATGGATGACAAATAAAGTTGGACACTAAGAAAATTAACACACATAATTTTGTGGATGACAAATACATTTGGACACTTAATTAGAGTATGATATGCAAGAAAATATATCAGTCGAGATTATTTATCGGATTTAAATATCAAACGTTATCATGTCCGGAAAATGCTTCGATATTTATATTAACCGTGATTTTTCTAACCAGAATGGGCATGAATGCTTAGATAATGACATGTGACTCGTACTATAATTTTTTAATGTGAGTGGTTTCTTTTCATATCTTAAGCAAAACTTCTTACAAAAGTTTTACATTAATATAAATGTGAGATCATTTCTGTTTCGTTTATTCAACTTGCCAAATGATATCAACATAAGGGATCTCAGATTATTTTATACTCTCATACTAATTTACTAATTCATGTTGTATTTATAATAACAATTTTGTAACCGGTTTAATTTTGTATTGATTAAGAGCAAAACAGCATCGACTATATTTGATGTTGCCAAAATTTGTTTAACTGCATATATAAGTGATGTGATTTGTCATATTATAATGTTATGTTTTGGTTTATCGCGCAATGAAGGTAATATGGCGCCGAGACAGGAAAGATGATGTTGGCTTACCTCAGGTGTTACTAAGCATTATACTGTGAAGTATTCTTTTGTGACTTATCCCACATAAGACTGATACATGTGATATTCATAAAATTATCAATTTGCTATATTTAATTTTCCTATAACTTTATCTAGTTATACAAGTAAACTCAAAATTTCCATTTACATTGTAATTGTATAATGTATCTTTCTTAACTTTTATTTCATTTGAAAAAAATGTTGTGCTATAAAGATAATGAAAAAAATACAATGCAACATAACAATTGTTTCTTAACTGAAATAAGAAACATATAAAAAATATTGATAAATCATTAGATAAAGATTACTCTTGTACCGTCGAGTCGAATAAAACAACATTCTGCTGCCATGCAAACTTCAACTTTTTTTCAAATAATACAATATTATGAAGAAGATGGTTTTAGATTCTTTACATGCTATATCTAAAATAATGCATTCGAATAAGAAAAGGGACTAGTAGATGCAAACTTATAATTATTCCTTAAATTGATATCCCTGTGTTTGATACAAGTTACTTGATTGCAGTTTCTAACTATTATGTTTCAAAATAAGTAGTATGTATGAGACAAATCCAACAACTATGATCATTTTTCAAGCAATATATCTATCATTATAAGGACATGATTTTAAAATTATATGTCTTTGTTTTTTTTTGTTCGTTTTTTTTGTTTGTTTCTTTTGGTTTTTTTTGCCTGAAGTTTGGTTACTTATTTAAGGTCTGTATAGCTTATAAGATAAGACTTGAAAGTTTAGAATTCATGTGAAATATGCAAAACTATTATCAAATTATTTCATTATTAACTCTGAAAATTTCACCGTGTTTATTGTGATAAAAATGTGTAATATGAATTAAATATAAATGCATGGTATCATTAATTTATTATCATTAAATATGACAACAGACAGAAGTAGTTGTCTAAAACTAAAAACGTCAAGTGATACACAATATCTGAATAACACACACGTGGATTATGGTGACCTTCAAAGACAGATTATGTTCCTCAAATGATTTGTTTCCTTTTTTAAAATGTTTAAGAAATGATATTTTTCGGCTTTTTATCTAAATAACTAACTATGGAAAATATTTTTTGCAAAGTCATCTTCATTTTAACCTGTGATACAAACGTTGACACGGTGTCACAAAATTGTAAATGTATTGTTAATCTGCTGGTATAGGTAATAATATGCAATTTTGTCTTGCTGCTGGTGAACAAGTATGATATTCAAATTGATATTAAACTACATTTTTAATATTGTAGTTTTACTGGCATAATGTTCTGATGATTCTGTATGTGTCTTAGAATATCTTTGTTTCTTTGATAAAATGTACTGTTTCTGTTTGGACTTCGCAAACGCTTTGACAGTAATCACTATTACAAATTATGTGTAATTTTCTGGTAAATTAACAAACAATTATAAATGTTTATCTTTCTTGTCAATATATTTACATATATGTATCATACCAAAGTTAATACTTTCGAAAAGGCTAATGGTTCCAGTAGTACAAAGCATTTAAGCTATTGTATGGATGTAAAAGAAATTTTGATAAAACCAGTCTCACGTCATGTGTTAGGAATCTTAGGTTAAAACTATGTTGGTTAATTAAATCGAAATTGTAAAGCAAAACATATATACAATGATATGTCTTATATTCTGTAAGCTATGTAATTTCCCTTAGTGCTGAGGGATTTATTACTCTGAACTATTTTAAATGGCACACAATTTAAGTTTACATGTATGCCAAATCACAGGTTCCCAGTATATTGATAGTGCACATTAAATTAATCTACAAACATCTTATCAGGAAACAGTAAAAATGTGCTCCTTCCTATTACTTTGTTATGCATGAATCTCTTGTGACGATAGAGATAAGTCTATTTTGTATGACATCATGTTGAAGCAACGCTTAATTGATATCCAAATACCTGGAATGATAATGTTGAACTTTCAGTCAAAGCATTCATTTACTTTACAAGTACCTGTGAACTTTGCATGCTTCTGGAGATTTTATAAGTTTAGAAAACAGCATAAGAATGAAGATGAACCTTTTCTTATTTTCACTCATCATAGAAAATGGTACACATAAGATACTGTTTTATAATTATTGAGCAGATATAGTTCAAATTGAGCATATAAATATTGATACAGATACCTGTTTTGACATTTTCTCTCTCATAACCTTAGCATAGACAATGGTATACAAAAGAATATAGATATTACAAAATAGAAATATACGGAATATACTGTTTTACAATTAAATGCTCAAAGACCAATACTATGGTAAACTGGGCGAATATCATAGTAATTGTCTTCGAATGTCAACTGTACAACACTCTTTTAATACATAAAATACATAAATTATTATCATCAATCATTTCTGGCATGAAATCGCCTAAATTAACGGATAAGTTTATATCAGTAGGTTAAATAGTCATCATTGAATTGAAATTAGGAAGTAAAAGTTTTGTATTATATCATAATTTAGTCAGGCAAATTATATCATTATTACTTTATTCATTTTATTACTGAGTTTGCAATTCGTCACTTGAATATTTTATTTTATTGTTGACCTTTTTTTTTAACTGCAGATCTCTATTACTTTAAAGATGCTGCTGCTGAACTGTATTACAAGTGTCACAAAGCTTCATAACCGTCGTATAACCATTTGCATATCAATAAAAACGGGCAGTTTATTTTTCTGATAATTATGTTGTTATTCCTTTTGTGAAACCAGAATGTCGTTCACCGTAAGTGTTTGCAACTCAAGTCTGAATATTGAAATGTTATTTGATTTGTTGATGGGGGATCGAAAAAACAAATCATACGCATGCTATTATAATGTATCAAAGCTTTACGAAGTTTAAAGGTCTTATTCTATGTTTACCGTGGCTAATTACTTCTGCATAAGAAAACAACTGAATATGTCGACTTTGATTTAGTACATTTTCAATCTCATTATAAGAATAAGTTTTGTATAAAGTTAATACCTTAAACAAATATTAGTTATTAGCAATTCATCAATTAGAATTTTGTTTAAAATATTGCATTAAAATTTCTGCAAGGCCGCACATGAAAGCACATTTGTCTTAATCAGGCCCCATGGCGGCGAAAATCGTGAACGTCATAAAAATGCTTTTGTTCCGCATACGATACTTTTATTTTAAGATTAGTTCAACTATCGTCAAAAACGTCTATACCGCTCGGAACTATTTTCACTACGAAGATTCTTGTCTCATCCTTTTGTGTCATGTAAGATGTTTCTGAAGGAGACTACCCAAACTGTTGTCAAAAGTGTGTGAAAGTGCTGCATTCTGGACGCCTTAATAACGACGTTTTCGAATAAATAATTTCAATTATAAACCGTTGGAACTTGATTGCACACTTACTTAATGTTAAAATGACATGAAATATTAGATTTCGGTGTTTTAGAGCAAACTCCGCAAATTTACGCAAGAATCATTACCGTATCAGGTAACTTGGTTTAAGTTGTTAAAGATTAAGTAAGTCACGTTTATATTTCTTTTGGGCGTCATAATGGTATAGAAATTCAAGACCTTGATATACTTATTTGCGAAATCTGCACAAGTAGACCGTCACGAACTTATCGAAGCGGTTGCTTCCTTTTATAAGTACACTAACGCCGGCAAATAAAGGGGAGACCAATGCGTAAATATTGTCAAATGATAAGCACGTTAATATTCATATCTTCTCAAGGAAGACAAAATATTTCCCGATTGCTCGAAGATTTCTAATATAGTACAATAATAACCGGTCATATGTGCAAATAATTGTGTTATGCGGATGAATATTATTTCAATCAATGAAAATAGCTCGACTTTCCCCAGAAAGCTTCGAATGATTGTGATTGCCTTAATGGATTTTTATATATAGACTTTCTCAAAAATAAAGAAAGGATGTTGACTCTATGACAGGGACAAATTTAAGCAGTCGACGATCTATAATCAATTTCTACCAAAAGTAACGGCACCCAATAATTTAATCCACGCAAACAAAGCGCTATTTTTAGCCCACACTTCAGAGCGTATTACACAACTAGAAGTGAAATATTATATAAATGTATACAGATTTTTGCTAAATTATTTCATAAATATACATACTTATATTAAGCTCCATGATTTTTACATCAGTGTTAAACAACAGGTTTAGCGTGAACAAAATATCTCGAAATTAATGGAATACAAACCCTTATTTAAAATAATGTGGTTTGCTTCAGGCTGTTTTCTAATAACCTTCCCGTGGTCCAGTGGAAACGAGAGGTCTGGAGTTAAAATCCCAGTTTTTGCAACTCGTTTTTTTTTTCTTTGGTTGTTTTCGTTTTAAATTGTTTAAGCCAAATAAACATTGAATTGAATATCAGTGTTGCAATTAGCTTTATAGCCAATTTATTATAGTTATAACACTGGAAACAGTATTGATGGCACTATACAAAAACAAATTTGTTTATAATCTCACACCCTTCACCTTTTTGACATTCTGAGACCCAAATAAATTCAGCGCATTTTGTGCTTTGATTGAGCTTGCCGCTGTTTCCATAGCTATTTAACCTTTTACCTGATATAGACGTGTTTGACAGTCGTCTCCCCCCTTTTGAGGCCTAAAACAATGAAAACTGGCCTATTTAGGCCTCAAACTCTGTTTTTCGTTTAAGAAATGTATTTAAAAAGTGACCCTTTATCAGAAAGATACATCAGAGGGTTGCCAGAAGTTGGATGTGGCCCCTTCTGTTTGGGCGGTTTGAATGGAGGGCGATAGTCCCACTCATCGCCCAGAAAATTTGGACAAACGACAGGCTAAAAATGGCCTCAGGCCGATCTTAAGGTAACGTGTAACCAACGCTGAAAAGCCTTTTACTCTATCTTAATCCATTGAGAAGTTGCAGCACAGAAATCAGTTTTGATTGAACACACAATGCAAAATAGTGATTTTTGGAAACTTTGAGACGTCCCCTTGCCATGAAAACAGGACATTTAAGGTTGAGCATGCTGTTAGAGAGGTTATGTTCCACTCAACAGTTGTACCATTTCATCAGTGTTGAAGCATTTTTCATGGTTTCATAGAAGTTTGAACTTGTAAAATTTAAAAGATGCTATTGAAGAATGGGGACTAAGTAATTAAGTGTAAATTATAGTGACAGACTATGCTGCTAACATGCGAATAAGTGGTATACAGCTGTGAGAATGACTGGTATACAAAATATCCGATGCCTTGCAAATTCTCTAAATTAAGCATCTGAATTTTTTTTAAATGTAACATCGACTTCACAAGAGCTCCACTGCTACAGCTATCCTTAAAGAAAAGCAAGGTATTCTTACACTGTGATGTCATTAACTGCAGATTGATGTTCAGACGAGATGAAATAGTTCATATGACATGATAGAGCGCTACTTAGAGCATCAAAACGTAGAACAGGCAACACTCCTATGTAAAGAAATAAGACAGAATGTAGCTGAATTCCAAGCCTTTTCAGACAACAATTGTGTTCTAGCTGAGGATTTCAAAAGGTGAACATATATAACATAATACTTACACAGTCATTTTTTGAAAACTAATTCTGAGGTTATACCGATATGTCTTAAGTCAATTAATAAAGTTTCTTCAAAGGAAATTCCTGTTTTCTTTCCATAACTAGCACATTAAAAACATATGATAAATTTATAACAAGTTTAAATTTTATTGGGATACAATTTGTTATTAGATATTTCATTCTTTTAATTATTGATTAATATATATTGATTTGCCTAATTCATTACTACCATTCAGATCATGGACCTATGAAACTCGCAACAGTAACATGAAGAGAGTGTTCCGACCTTGTATATTCTGCTTCTTTTACTTCAAAGGTGAATATTGACTTTCAGCCAAATGATGATGACAGCAAGGCTGTGGTAGATCTCAAACAGGTCATTTCCAAAAATCTATCTTTGAGTACATGTAAACTTCTTTGAGACCTTAAGTGTTATGTTAAGGTAAAACATAGTGTTCAGCGTACTTCCACAGTTAACATGATGATTATTATTACAATATCATGCTTCACACAGTATTCAATTTGTTATTTATCATTTGTTCATTTACACATTTTCAACAGAAAGGTCCCAAACTATGATACAAGTATATTACTTGAATAATGAGAATTATACATGCAAAAATTAATAACTATTTAACAAGATAAAATAATATATAGTAAAAGTAACAGTATGCTTGTAAATGAGTAACATAATTCAATTAACACATGGAAATTTAATTTAAAAGTTTACTGCTTGTATGAGACGTCAACATTTGTGAAAAAAAATACAATGATATATATATATTACATATTCATGGTGAAATAGATGAAGAGCTAGGTGAATTGAGTAAATCGCCACAATTGCCAACTGCACAAGAGAGTTTAACATACCAATCTTCCACAGATCAAGCTTCTACAACATCCGCCCAAACGTAAGCCGAACAAGAGACTTAATCTTCTTCTCCAAAGAAAAATAAATAATATCTATGTGATTTAATTGATGATGAACTTTATGTTGTCAGTAGAGCTGCACCAAAGTCAAGTTTTGAATGTACTTCGGATGAGATGCTAGTATACAGATGAATCCCTACTTAAGACCATCCCGGAATTAAGACCATTTTTTCAAAGAGCGGAATTTCTGGTCTTTATGTCTACGGTAACATGATCCAGAATTCTGACCACCTCGCTTATCCACTTTTGAGACGACCAGATTCAGTCCCAGTTCTTTGTTTTGTTCTTTATTTGATCCAGTTATTCAGACCACTGACAATAAAATCAACACCTACCTAGATCTTCAATGTGTTCCTATTAACTGCTTGAATGTTCTTAGGCATGACATTCGGTTTCACAATGTGTCAAAAACTGTTATTACTAGGATATTACACCATGTATATGAAATAAGGTCAGAAAGTTTTTTTTTTAATGTTGCTTTAAACACATTTATTTTGTGAAGAATTAATTTTTATTTTTTTAATTCAATACTGAAACCAAAAAAAAAATAAGTGCAATACTAAATCACATTACTACGGTGAATTTCTCAGAAACTTTGAAATCAAGCGATACTATTATCATGATACGCATGCAGTCTTTGAATGCAAACTTGCATTTTATCATTGAAATAAGAATAAAATTATAATAAAAAGCACCATATCTTAAAAAACTAGCATGAAAGTTCATGTACATCGCAAAATAAAAAAAAAACCCATAACAACATGCATTCTATAATACTAGATACTCCTTAATTAAGATCGAAATTTTCAAATACCCTATTAAAAACAAAACTGACTAAAATTCCCTTAAGGTCTAAATATTATTTGGATATCGTTTCAAAGGGAAAGAAAGAAACAAGGTAACTGCAGATTCGGCTGACTGAATTGTTCTATAAAGATATTGTAAAATGTAAACAGTTTATGCCAAGTTTCATCCCATGGAGCAGTATTAAGTTTGTTTTTGTTGAAATCAAAATATTAAAACATTATGATTTTGGTGACAAGAACCTGGAAGTTATGTTCTAGTTTTTTCCCCTATATAAAATATCATTGTATCAATGACACTACAACATTATATTTTACAAGCATATTTATACATTATATTGATATTTTTTTCCCAAAAAATAACTTTTTAATATTTATAGATTTGTTTGACCTTACGTTATATTTTAATGAAAATATAATTTAATATTTATTCAATCACCTTCCAAAACAAAAATGTTTAATAATTAGTAGACGGGATTGTTTTTGTTATTTTTTAGCATCGAAGTAACAAAGAAATTGCAATTATAGATTCAAATTGAAATGTGCGTGTGTTAGCAGTGAAAGGGACATATAAAAGGACATAGTGCTTAAATGTTAAATAGACATGCATGAAAAGGGTGCATATTTTGAATTTGCATTATTTAGATGCAAAATGACCATATATTATGTATAAAACAAAAACAATTGTTGTTGTTTTTTCTTGTTTTTTGTTGTTTTTCTGTCTTTCTTTTTTTAAATGCATTCATGTGTGAACAAGGAAATTATTCTAACACCAAATTTAAAGGGAAAGGGATGTTGTTGTTGTTTTTTTTTTTGTTTTTTTTTTTTAAACATTAGGTGTAAAAAATTCTTACCATCAAATCCCCGTCGTCACTACTATCTTCATCCTGAAAGAAGAATTCAGTATTAAATTACTTAGTTTTACAAATAGGGAAATATGTTTAGTCAAGTATAATGTATTCAAAGTGTTATCTGACATAATTGAGTGTCAATATGTCAAAATTAAATAAAATAATCTAAATCTTAACAACACAGTTTGAAAACAAACCACAACAAAAAATCTTGTATATAAGTCAAAAACCTTGTATGGCAGTGTACAGATACTACGATTTATACTTATTTTATACTGCTATGAAATAGAATAACTTGCTAGAAATCAGGTTTTTATATACTTTCAAAATTTTTAAACTAAAGAAGAGATAACTATAATTGTAATTAAGATGCCAGACTTACGAACATTGTCATACAGGATGTGAATGACGACAATTAACATCTTATCTTAAGACTAAAGTAGATATATAGATACAACATATGGTTACAAAGAAGAAAAAGTATAACAAGAGCTTTCACTGAAAAGTGTGACGCTTATTGTACTCGAAAATTTATCTGATATAAGCGAAAATCAAGATGCTATGCAAAACTAGGCATGGTGATGAACAATTCTTTAAAGTTTCACTGAAATCCCACAGATATTTTGGATTTGTAGTGTTGACAAGCATATTTTACTAAAAAAAAGACCATCAAGGGGCCATACATGTGACAAAAAGCAAGCATAATATCAAGAGAGAATGCACAACTAGGTTTTGGAGATGAAGCGTGGATCGAAATTGACCATTGAGGGGGTCAGTGGAAAATAAAGATAACATGCATAACTAGGCATGATAAAAAACAATCATGTGAAGTTTCACTGATATCCACCCAGCGAGTTTGGAAATGAAGCGTGGTCAAAATTACCGGACAGACGGATGGGTTAACTGACAGTGAAATAACTATATATGTTACCCTTCAATTGCATAAAAAACAATCAAATACATATTATTTAGAGTAATTAAGAAGAACATTTTTGAATAAATACCAATATCTCAATTGAGAAGTAGCAGCACAGAAATCGGTTTGATCTAACAAACAATGCAGAATAGTGATGTTGGCAATTTTGAGACGTCCCCCTGTAACCATTGTAACAGGACATTTAAGATTGAGCATGCTGTTACAGTGGTTATGTTCCAGTCAACATTTGTGCCAAGCATTTTTCATGGTTTCATAGAAGTTTGAACTTGTAAAATTTAAAAGATGCTATTGAAGAATGGGGGGTAATTAATAAATAAAGTGTAAGTTATAGAGTTATAGTGACAGGCAATTCTGCTAACATGGCATTAGCTGTGAGAATGACTGGTATACAAAATATCCGATGCCTTCCCCATTCTGGGAATGAAGCATCTTAGAATTTTTTTAAACTGTAACATCGACTTCACAAGAGCTCCACTGCTACAGCTATCCTTAACGAAAAGCAAGGTATTCTTACACTGCGACGTCATAAACTGCAGATTTATGTTCAGACGAGATGGAATAGTTCGTATGATATGATAGAGCGCTACTTAGAGCATCAAAACGTAAAACAGGCAACACTCCTATGTAAAGAAATAAGACAGAATGTAGCTAAATTCCAAGCCTTTTCAGACAACAATTGTGTTCTAGCTGAGGATTTCAAAAGGTAAACGTATATAACATAATACTTACACAGTCATTTTGTGAATACTAATTCTTAGGTTATACTGATATGTCTTTAGTCAATTTATAAAGTTTCTTAAAAGGAAATTCCTGTTTTCTTTCCATAACTAGCACGTTAAAAACATATGATAAATTTATAACCAGTTTAAATTTTATTGGGATACAATTTCTTATTAGATATTTCATTCTTTTAATTATTGATTAATATATATTGATTTGCCAAATTCATTACTACCATACAGATCATGGAACCTATGAAACTCGCAAAAGTAACATTGCATGAAGAGTTTAACAGACCAAGCTCCCACAGATCTAGCTTCTACAACATCCGCCCAAACGTAAGCCGAACAAGATACTTAATCTTCTTCTCCAAAGAAAAATAAATAATCTTTATGTGATTTAATTGATGATGAACTCTATGTTGTCAGTGAAACTGCACCAAAGTCAAGTTTTGAATGTACTTCAGATGAGATACTAGTATACAAAAGAATCCCTACTTTAGACCATTCCGGAATTAAGACCATTTTTTTCAAAGAACGGAATTTCTGTTCTTTATGTCAACGGTAACATGATCCAGAATTCTGACCACCTCGCTTATCCACTTTTGAGACGACCAGATTCAATCCCAATTCTTTGTTTTGTTCTTTATTTGATCCAACTATTGAGACCACTGACTATAAAATCAACACTAACCTAGATCTTAAATGTGTTGTTATGTTGTTATTTACTGCTTGAATGCTATAGGCATGACATTTGGTTTCACAATGTGTCAAAAACTGTTATTATTAGAATGTTGTATGAAATAAGGTCAACAAATCAATTTTAGAGTTTTTTAATGTTGCTTTAAGCACATTTATTTTGTGGAAAATTAATTTCTTCTTTTTTTAATTCAATACTAAAACCAAAACAAAAAAATAAAATGCAATACTTAATCACGTTACTACGGTGGATTTATCAGAAACAGTAAAAAATGGTAATTCATTAAATACCATGCCAATTAACCGTCCGATCGTATGAGAAATCTGATCAAGTTTGTAAAATTGGAGATTTCACGGTATCAACAGTAACCAACTTTTAAGGAAACGAATTAGGCATAAGTCTTGTTATCGACATGATTGTTGTAAAAAAGCGACAATACCGTGGAGTACTTTATACTTTTGCTGGGAAGAAACCGTTAATTGGTGTAAAAATGATAAAAAGATGTTCAATTTCCATTACACGATACATCTTTTGCAATTTTTATAAAGGCCATATGTCATTTGCTATGCTATTTGATAATATCGTCACTATTTGCTATTAACTGATGCTAGTCCGGCGAAAAGTGTTACTATTTTTATCATATTTTGTTCATCTTTTATTAAATGTCAATTTACTTATATAAGAATTGTATCTATCATGCCATTAGCATCTTTCATGAATATTTAATTGAACGAATACAGTGCTCCTCTCTTTCAATCCGTAAGCTAGTTCACTGCAAATATGCAACTGTTTATAGTTAAAACGTCCTATATTTCTTTGTTTGTTTATGAAGAGTACGGTAGTAAATAAGGGTCGTGTCATGACATCATATCATTGTACAAAGTCTTTGCCACGACCTTAAAAAAACTAAAATGCAAGATAATGTACTAACAGTGCTTAATCGAATAAGAAATTATTATCTTATTATAATCATACGTCAAAGAAACCAATGAAATCAGGCGATAATATTATCATGATACACATGTATTCTTTGAATGCAAACTTACATTATATCATTGAAATAAGAATAAAATTATAATAAAAAACCATATATTATAAAACTAGCATAAAAGTTCATTAACATCGCAAAATCAAAAATAACCATAACAACATACATTCTATAATGCTAGATACTCTTTAATTAAGATCGAAATTTTCAAATACCCTTTCAAAAACAAAACTGACTAAAATTCCCTTTATGCCAAAATAGTATCTTGATATCGTTTCAAAGCGAAAACAAGGAACAAGGTAACTGCAGATTCGGTTGACTGAATTGTTCCATAAAGATATCATTAAAATGTAAACAGTTTATGCCCAATACCAATGAAATATTATTTGATATTTATTCAATCATTTTCCAAAACAAAAATGTTTAATCATCAGTAGACGGGATTGTATTTGATATTTGTTAGCTTCGAAGAAACAAAAGAAATTGCGATTATAGATTCAAATTGAAATGTTCGTTAGTTAGCAGTGAAAGGGATATATTGAAGGAAATAGTGCTTAAATGTTAAAAAGACATGCATAATACCGGCGGATATTTTAAATTTTAATTATCTAGATGCAGAATGACCATATATTATGTATAAAACAAAACCATTTGTTGTTGTTGTTTTTTATTTGTCTTTTTTTTTTGTCTTTTTTAAATGTATTCATGTGTGAACACGGAAACTATTCTAACACCAAATTTAAAGGTAAAGAGATGTTGTTTTTTTTTAATCAGGTGTAAAGTATCCTTACCGTCGAATCCCCGTCGTCACTACCAACTTGATCCTGAAAGAAGAATGCAGTATTAAATTACTTAGTTTTACAAATGGGGAAATATGTTAAGTCAAGTTAAATGTTTTCAAAGTGTTATGTGACATAATTGAGTGTCCATATGTCAAAGTGAAATAAAACAATCTAAATCTAAACAACACAATTTAAAGAAAAACCTAACTAATCAGAAAAAATTCTTGTAAATAGTTAAAAAAAACTTGTATGGCAGTGTACAGATGCAATTGTGAAATTTAGCGTACGTTTATGTCAAAATTTCAAGGAAATTGGTCGTCCTACACTTCTGATTCATACAAACATATAGAGAAAAGTTAAGTCATGATATGGAACGCAGGTTAAAATTATAATATCATATTTTTCGAAAGGCTAGCCTATGCTATGCTAAGATTTAGACTTACATTATGCTGTAATGAAATAGAATAACTTGCTAAAAATCAAGTTTTTATTTACTTTCAAAACTCTTAAACTAAAGAAGAGATAACTATTGTAATTAAGATGCCAGACATACGAACATTGTCATACAGGATGTGAATGACGACAATTAACATCTTATCTTAAGGTAGCTCGCTACTTTCCGACCGAAATTTGACAATATCTCAGATCTTGATGATTTTTGGTATACATAAATATAGATATGTAAGCTTTACTTCTGCAGCATTATTTTACAAATAAACAGCGTTACTATGACGTCAAAGCGCCCTCTATCGATGGCGGCGAAATTGCGTCTTTTTTATCAATAAACCGGTCTGTTCTTATCAATTTTCATCCGATTTCCTTCGTTTTAATTTTATAATGTTCAGTAAATGTATGTCTTTGAAATAATGTCTTTCTTTAACATTTGCTTAATTGTCTGCGATTCTACGTCATTTTTATCTACATTCTGACGTCCATTTATAATACAAATATCGCGCGATATCGCAATAAAGATTGTAAAATAACAAAAAATCAACACGGTGAATTTTGCTATAATTTTTTTAACATGTAGTGAAGTCATGAAAGAAAATATTTATACAATAAAAATATAGGGTCAACGCGTAAGATATTTTGCTATTACTATTTTAATATAAGATAAAGGATGAGTAAAACGTAATGATTTTGGTGACGTCAAATATTTTTCTCAAGGAAATTGTCACGAGTTTCCGATGAATAGTATACTGACTGGAATTAAAATGTGTGAAAACCATCAACAACAATTGTATTTAGACATATTCCTAAAATGTTCTTTTAAAAGTCCTGTCAGGTGCCCGCATTTCGATGAACAACTTCAATTATATACATGTACAACAAATCAGGGTATGACTGTCTGCAAAAGTTTGTATTAATCTCTAAAAAACTGAAACGAATGGTTATAAATACCCCGAGGACTGAAAAACAATTCAGAATATTGAAAGATATAATTAAAATGCCACCTAACTGGAAATAATACAAACATAAATTTTGTTAAAAAAGTTATTCTATTTTCTCTCGCAGCTAAATACTAGTAAATAATTTCCCTGCACTAAGCGTGAGACTCTGATTTATCATTCTATGGCTTGAATATCTCACGCATTTCACATAATTACAGATATTCTTATTTATTTAAAACTCCTGACTCGCGGTTTGCGTTTACTAGCGCATTTTTGAGGCGACCTGAAGCCGCGATCATTTCTCGATTCGAGGCAAAAGATCCGTTGATTTATTTTGTATGTTCATAAGCGGATAATTTTGCATATTAAAATTAATACAGATTCCCTTGTATTGAAGACGATCATGTAGGATCCTCAATTTGTGTGAATATGGTTTTCGGAGAAGCTTGTTTTTGTCTGCACATAATACAGAGCTATGTAGAGCCTATGAAAATAATGAACTATGCATTTTATGTTTTATATCTTCTTATTTTTTAATATTGGGTTTAACGCCGCTTTCAACAGTATTTCAATTATAGCTGAGGGAATTTAACAAAACCAGTGTTTCTCACAGTATCAACTTCTCTATGGAAATAAATGACAGGAGTCCGAGGTGGACCTTGAAACATTTCATACACAGTAAACAATTCTAAAGGACAATCTATTAGTACAATACGCAATCGTTTCTCGAATTCACGCCACGAATTCAGCGTAAGACCACTTTCCGATTACAGAATATTCAAAGTTAAAAACCTGATTATGATCTCCCTTAATAAGACAGAAGTCCACTTTATTGTTACATCATAAATACTTGTTTTTGGTGTGTGTTTTCGGTTTTTTTTTGTTGTTGTTGTTATTTTTTTCTATTTTTGTTTTAAAGAAAACTGTATTGTATTAAAAATGAACACGATAACGTCAACATAATACGATAAGGTCAACATAATACATTATTCGTATTCAGTGGTAACAAAAGTTGCACAAGGTATTTAATAATTATATTTTGTATTTAATAAAAACATACAGTATAACATCTACAGAGAAATGCCCTTTGTTGCTGAGTGGTTGCTCTACAGAGGTAAAATGTAGTGGAACCCTTTAGAAATAAATAATATTTTGAGGGCCGCTTTGTTATACTGTAATGAAAAAGCGGTAAGTAGGTATACGTAAATCCGAGTTCCAAAAAGTTTTATAGTTTGTCATTTTCTAATTATGACATTTAAATTAGATTATAATTATATAATATATGTATTGCACATACTTAAAAATGGTAAGCAAAAATAAATGTTTTTTTGTTTCTTGTACAGTTTGTTTTTTAATATACTTAACATAATTATTTGAATATTATTTCTGAATTTAATTTATCACTTATTCCACATTTGTATGCATATCTATCTTAATTGCATTTTACGATGTGTTTTGACACCGAGGCTCGTCTGCCTGTATGTGATTTTATGAAAGTGTTTAAAAGCTGAATGTAACGTAAAATAAATATTCTAACGGGTATAAGCTAAGCGACCTAATATTCTTACTTCATTCATACAGCAATATGTGAATCTTATTTTTTTTGCGCTGAAACTAGTTAATTCATATAATAATATAACACTTTTCACTCTTTCATTACAAACATCAAAATATAAAATAAAAATTAAAAGATGTATGAGACTGCGTCCTGCAAATTAGAAACGTATTTAAGATTAAACATTGTAAATTTGCTGTTCTAGCGCATGCTTTCAATGAGAAAATAATCAACAATTTAAAAAATATACATTTCATCAAGTTCCTGTGTTGTTAATACTTACAATCGTAATGTTTGTCGTAAGAAAATTGTTATTTGGTATTATTCTTTGAACTCCAACGTCTATTAACGCCACCAAACCATTGCGTTACATTCCCTTTATTTTATTTTAAAACAGTAATAGCAAAATATCTTACGCGCTGACCCTATATTTTTATTGCATAAATATTTTCCTTCACTTTCTCACTACACGCTCGAAAAATTATAGCAAAGTTCACCGTGTTGAATTTTTTTTATTACACAATCTTTATTGCGATATCGCGCGGTATTTGCATCAGATATGGACGTCAGAATGTAGAGAAAAATGACATAGAATCGCAGACAATTAAGCAAATGTTAAAGAAAGATATCATTACAAAGACATACATTTATTGAACACTATAAAATTAAAACGAAGGAAATCGGATGAAAATTGATAAGAACAGATTGGTTTACTGAAAAAAGACGCAGTTTCGCCGCCACCGATAGAGGGCGCTTTGACATCATAGTAACGCTGTTTATTTATAAAATAATACTGCAGAAGTAAAGCTCACATATCTATATGTTTGCATACAAAAATCATCAAGATCTGAGATGTTGTCAAATTTCGGTCGGAAAGTAGCGAGCTACCTTAAGTCTAAAGTAGATACATGTATAACAGCCACCGGAAAATCTTTGCACCACCGGGAAAGTGGCAAACTTCACTACCATTTATACTTGCTCTAAACACTTAAAAATCATTTCATCCGAAAGATGTAAGGTTAATTAAAAATAATTGACTTCATCTACAGCTATTTTTATGTTTCTTTCTTATCAAAAATTGTATTTTAAAAAATTTGTTCGGGCGGAATTTCATGTATTTCACCCGGAATTATGCTCTCCGGGCGGAATTTACTTATATTCCAATTGGAATGTTTTCCAACATTTTTATTTATTCCCAAGGGAATTTCATTTTTTCAAGCAAACCTTAAACTATAAAAATCAACATTAATAAACCCTATAATGACTAGTGTCTGACTAGTTTTGAAAAACATATTCGTTTAAATTAAAATATCTCATTTTGAAAGCTGGAAACATTTCCGACTGGATTTTTTCAGAACAAAATTTAATAAGTATAAGAACGATAATAATTAAAGGCAAATGATAGTTTTCGATAAAAATTAACATAATTATACACGCTGAATTACCAATAAGGTGTTTTGAAAAAAAATGAAAATTTTATTGGATTTATTTTCAATTATTTTTGTTGAAAAAATTTCCAACTGGAATTGTTTCAAAAAAATAAATTCCAATTGGATTTTCCTCAATTGATTCATTTTCAAATGATTCGACAGTTATCCGTTTGATTTTCTTTTAATAAGAGATAACAAATTATTTATAACTATGATGATAAATAATAATAATAATAATATTATTATTATAATTAATAATAATAATAATAATAATAATAATAATAATGATAATAAGGAAGAATGAGAAAATACCATGATGCGATTATAAATTAAATCATCATTAAATCTTTAATTGGTGTAAAAATGATAAAAAATGTTCAATTTCCATTATACGATAAATATTTTGCAATTTTTATAACGGCCATGTGTCATTTGCTATGCTATTTGATAATATGGCCTTTATTTGCTATTTAACTGATGCTAGTCCGGCGAAAAGTGTTGCTTGTTTTATCATAATTAGTTCATCCTTTATTTAATGTCAGTGTATTTTATACGAAGTGTATGTTTCATGCCATTAGCATCATTATTTCATGAATATTTAATTGAACGAATACAGTGCTCCTCTCTTTCAATACGTAAGCTAGTTCGCTTCGAATATGCAATTGTTTATATTTAAAAGTCTTATATTTCTTTGTTTGTTTATGAAAAGTACGGTAGTAAACAAGGGTCGTGACATGACATCATATCATTGTACAAAGTTTTCGCCATGACCTTAAAATTACAAAATGCTAGATAATGTACTTCCAGTGCTTAATCAAATAAAAATGATTTTCTTATTATAATTATACGTCAAAGAAACCTATAAAATCAAACGATAATATAATCATGATACGCAAGCATTCTTTGAATGCAGACTTACATTATATAATTGAAATAAGAATAAAATTATAAATAAAAAAACACCATATATTATAAAACTAGCATGAAAGCTCATGGACATCGCAAAATCAAAAATAACCATAACAACATGCAATATATAATACAAGATACTCTTTAATTAAGATCGAAATTTTCAAATACCCTTTCAAAAACAAAACTGACTAAAATTCCCTTTAGGTCAAATTATTATCTGGATATCGTTTCAAAGCGAAAGATAGGAACAAGGTTACTGCATATTTGGTTGACTGAATTGTTCTATAAATATATTATTAAAATGTAAACAGTTTATGCCCAGTATCACCCGCTGTAGCAGGATTACGTTTGTTTGCTTTGAAATCAAAATATTAAAACATTACAATGATTTTGGTCACATGAACCTGGAAGTTATGTTCTATTTTTTCCCCTAAATAAAATATCATGGTATCAAAGACACTACAACATTATATTTTACAAGCATACTTATACATTCTATTGATATTTGTTTTTCAAAAAAACTTTTAATATCAATAGTTTTGTTTGACCGTACGTTATTTTTAATGAAATATTATTTGATATTTGTTCAATCATTTTCCAAAACAAAAATGTTTAATAATTAGTAGACGGGATTGTATTTGATATTTGTTAGCTTCGAAGAAACAAAAGAAATTCCGATAATAGATTCAAATTGAAATGTTCGTTTGTTAGCAGTGAAAGGGATATATTGAAGAAAATAGTAATTATATGTTAAATAGACATGCATAATACGGGCGCATATTTTAAATTTCCATAATTTAGATGCAAAATGACCATATATTATGTATAAAACAAAACCATTTGTTTTTGTTTTTTTGTCTTTTTTGTCTGTCTTTTTTAAATGTATTTATGTGTGAACACGGAAATTATTCTAACACCAAATTTAAAGGTAAAGAGATGTTGTTTTTTTATTTTTTTTTTAAATCAGGTGTAAAATATCCTTACCGTCGAATCACCGTCGTCACTACTATCTTGATCCTGAAAGAAGAATTCAGAATTAAAGTACTTAATTTTACAAATAGGGAAATATGTTTAGTCAAGTATAATGTTTTCAAAGTGTTATGTGACATAATTGAGTGTTAATATGTCAAAGTGAAATAAAACAATCTAAATCTAAACAACACAATTTGAAGACAAACCTAACTTATCAGAAAAATTTTTTGTAAATAATTAAAAAAAAAACTTGTGTGGCAGTGTACAAATGCAATTGTGAAATTTAGCGCACGTTTATGTGACAATTCCAAGAAAATTGGTCGTCCTACACCTCTGATTCATACACATATAGAGAAAAATAAAGTCATGATATGGAACGCAGGTTAAAATAATAATATCATATTTTTCGAAAGGCTAGCCTAAGATATGCTAAGATTTAGACTTATATTATGCTGTTATGAAATAGAATAACTTCTTAAAAATCAAGTTTTTATTTACTTTCAAAACTCTTTAACTAAAGAAGAGATAACTATTGTAATTAAGATGCCAAACATACGAATATCTAACAGGATGTGAATGACGACTCTTAAGTCTAAAGTAGATACATGTATAACAGCCACCGGAAAATCGTTGCACCACCGGGAAAGTGGCAAACTTCACTACCATTTATACCTGCCATTTCATCCGATAGATGTAAGGTTAATTATGAATAACTGACATCATTTAAAGCTATTTTCATTTTTCTTTCTTATCAAAAATTGTATTTTAAAAAACTTGTCCGGGCGGAATTTCATGTATTTCACCCAGAATTATGCTCTCCGGGCGGAATTTACTTATATTCCAATTGGAATGTTTTCCAACATTTTTATTTATTCCAACGGGAATTTCATTTTTTCAAGCAAACCTTAAACTATAAAAATCAACTTTATATAATAAACTTTATAATGACTAGTGTCTGACTAATTTTGAAAAACTTATTCGTTTAAATTAAAATATCTCATTTTGAAAGTTGGAAACAATTCCGACTGGATTTTGTCAGAAAAAAATTTAATAAGTATAAGAACGCTAATAATTAAAGGCAAATGATAATTTTCGATAAAAATTAACATAATTATACACGCTGAATTACCAATAAGGTGTTTTGAAAAAAAAAATGAAAATTTAATTGGATTTATTTCCAATTATTTTTGTTGGAAAAATTTCCAAATTTTCAAAAAAAAAAAAATAATGCCAATTGGATTTTCCTCAAATGATTCATTTTCAAATGATAAAACCGACAGTTATCCGTTTGATTTCTTTTTTGATAAGAGATTACAAATTATTTATATCTATGATGATAAATAATAATAATAATATTATTAATAATAATAATAAAAATGATGATAATAAGGAAGAATGAGAAAATTGCATGATGCGTTTATAAATTATATCATCATTAAATCTTTAATAGGTGTAAAATGATAAAAAAAATGTCCAATTTCCATTATACGATAAATCATTTGCAATTTTTATAATTGCCATGTGTCATTTGCTATGCTATTTGATAATATGGCCTTTATTTGCTATTAACTGATGCTAGTCCGGCGAAAAGTGTTGCTTGTTTTATCATAATTAGTTCATCTTTTATTTAATGTCAGTGTATTTTATACGAAGTGTATGTATCATGCCATTAGCATCTTTCATGAATATTTAATTGAACGAATACAGTGCTCCTCTCTTTCAATACGTAAGCTTACGGACTAAAATTCCGTTTAGGTCAAATTATTATCTGGATATCGTTTCAAAGCAAAGGATAGGAACAAGGTAACTGCAGATTTGGTTGACTGAAATGTTCTATAAAGATATTGTAAAATGTAAACAGTTTATGCCCAGTATCACTGCTGGAGCAGGATTATGTTTGTTTGTGTTGAAATCAAAATATTTAAACATTATGATTTTGGTCACATGAGCCTGGAAGTTATTTTCTATTTTTTTCCCCTAATTAAATATCATGGTATCAATGACACTACAACATTATATTTTACAAGCATATTCATACATTCTATTGATATTGTTTTCCCAAAAAAACATTAAATATTAATCGTTTTCTTTGACCGTACGTTATATTTAATGAAAATATTATTTAATATTCATTGAATGAATGATCTTCCATAACAAAAATGTTTAATCATCAGTAGACAGGATTGTATTTGACATTTTTTACTTTTTAAGTAACAAAGAAATTGCGATTATGGATTCAAATTGAAATGTTCGTGTGTTAGCAGTGAAAGGGATATTTTCAAGGAAAAGTGCTTAAATGTTAAATAGACATGCATGAAAAGAGCGCATATTTTAAGTTTTCATTTTTTACATGCAAAATGCCCATATATTATATATAAAACAATACATTTGTTTTGGTTTTTTTTGTTTTGTTTTTTTTTGTTGTTTTTTTGTTTGTTTTTTTTTTATCACGGAAATTATTCTAACACCAAATTTAAAGGTAAAGAGATGTTGTTTTGTCTTTCTTTTATAATCAGTGTAAAGGTTCCTTACCGTCAAATTCCCGTCGTCACTACTATCTTGATCCTGAAAGAAGAATTCAGAATTAAATTACTTAGTTTTACAAATGGGGAAATATGTTCAGTCAAGTATAATGTTTTCAAAGTGTAATGTGACATAATTGTGTGTCAATATGTCAAAATGAAATGAAATAATCTAATTCTAAACAACACAATTTAAACACAAACCAAACTTATCAGTAGATAAGTCAAAACACTTGTATGGCAGTGAACAGATGCAATTGTGAAATTTAGCGTACGTTTATGTGACAATTCCAAGGAAATTGGCCGTCATACACTTCTGATTCATACAAACATATAGAGAAAAGATAACTCATGATATAGAACGCAGATAAAAATTATGATAACATATTTTTTCGAAAGGCTAGCATATGCTATGCTAAGATTTAGATATATCTTATGCTGTTATGAAATATTATAACTTGCTAGAAATCAACTTTTTACTTACTTTCAAAATTCTTAAACTAAAGATGAGATAACTATTGTAATTAAGATGCAAGACTTACGTTCATTGTCATACAGGATGTGAATGACGACAATAAACGTCTCTTAAGTGTAAAGTAGATATATAGGTACAATATATGGTTACAAAGAAGTAAAGGTATAACAAGAGCTGTCACTGAAAAGTGACGCTTATGGTACTCGAAAATTTAAAAAAGATAAGCGAAATTCAAATGACTATGCAAGACTAGGCATGGTGACGAACAATTCTTTGAAGTTTCACTGAAATCCAAAAGAGGTTTTGTAGTGTTGACAAGCATATCTTACTACAAAAAAAAAAGACCATGAAGGGCCATAAATGTGCCGAAAAGCAAGCATAATATCAAGAGAGAATGTACAACTAGGTTTTGGAGATGAAGCGTGGAGAAGCTTATTTCACTCGAAATTCACCATTGAGGGGGTCAGTTGAAAATAACGATAATATGCACAACTAGACATGATGAAAAACAATCATGTGAAGTTTCACTGATATCCTACCAGCGCTTTTGGAAATGAAGCGTGGTCAAAATTACCGGACAGACGAATGGATGGACTGACAGTACAATAAGTATATATGCTACTCTTTGATTACATAAAAAACAATCAAATACCTATTATTTGGATTAATAAAGAAAAACACTTTTGAATATATACCAATATCTCAATCCATTGAAGAGTTGCAGCACAGAAATCAGTTTTGATCTAACAAACAATGCAAAATAGTGATTTTTTGCAAATTTGAGACGTCCCCCTGTTGCCATGGTAACATGACATTTAAGATTGAGCATGCTGTTAGAGAAATTATGTTTGAGTCAACATTTGTGCCATGTTTCATCAGTACTGAATCATTATGCATGGTTTTACAGAAGTTTGAACTTGTAAAATTTAAAAGATGCTATTGAAGAATGGGGGCTAATTAATTAATAAAGTGAAAGTTATAGTGACAGGCAATGCTGCTAACGAGACATTAGCTGTGAGAATTATTGGAATACAAAATATCCGATGCCTTGAATTAAGCATCCTAGAATTTTTTAACTGTAACATTGACTTCACAAGACCTCCACTGCTACAGCTATCCTTAAAGAAAAGCAAGGTATTCTTACACTGTTTTCTTTCCATAACTAGCACATTAAAAACATATAATTATGATAAATTTATAACCAGTTTAAATCTTATTGAGATACAATTTCTCATTAGATATTTCATTCTTTTAATTATTGATTAATATATATTGATTTGCCAAATTCATTTCTACCATTCAGATCATGGAACCTATGAAACTTGCAACAGTAACATTGCATGAAGAGAGTGTTCCGACCGTGTATATTCTGCTTTTTTTTACTTCACAGGTGAATATACACTTTCAGCCAAAGATGATGAAAGCAAGGCTGTGGTATATATCAAACAGGTCATTTCCAAAAATATATCTTTGAAGTACAAGTACATGTATATATCTTTGAGACTTTAATGTAATATTAAGGTAAACATTGTAGTTAGCGTACTTCTAGAGTTAACATAATGATTATTATTACAATATTATGCTTCACACAGTATTCAATATGTTATTTATCATTTGCTCATTATTAAACTATCAGTTTTATTAAGATAATGTTTTTAACGAGAAAAACATAATTGTCAATAAATCAATCAATGTAAATTTTGTATAAATCTTCTTAATACAAACATATCCAAGATATTTTAAAAAATCAGACTTCCTAATAGAAGCAGTTTCACTAGATCCTACATTTAAACTTTTGGATTAGGCATATCGACATAGAATATATGGTATTCGGATGATATGCTAGTATACAGAAGAATCCTTACTTAAGACCATCGGGGAATAAAGACCATTTTTTCAAAGAACGGAATTTCCCGTCTTAATGTCAATGGTAACATGATCCAAAATTCAGACCACCTCTCTTATCCACTTTTGAGACGACCAGATTCAGTTTGGTTTTGTTCTTTATTTGATCCAACTGTATAGACCACTGACAATAAAATCAACACTTACCTAGATCTTAAATGAGTTGATATGTTGTTATTTACTGCTTGAATGCTCCTGGGCATGACATTTGGTTTTTTAAATGTGTCAAAAACTGTTATTATTATGATGTTGTATGAAATAAAGTCGGAAAGTAAATTTTAGATTTTTTTTAGTGTTGCTTTAAGCACATTTATTTTGTGAAGAATTAATTTCTATTTTTCTTAATTTATTACTAAAACACAAAACAAATGCAATACTTAATCAAGTTACTACGATGAATTTATCAGAAACAGTAAAAAATGGTAATTCATTAAATGCGACATTAAATCCCATGCAAATCAACCGTCCAATCGTATGAGAAATCTGATAACGTAAAGTTGGAGATTTCATGGCATCAACAATAATCAATTTTTAAGGAAAGAAATTAGGTATAAGTCTTGTTATCGACATGATTGTTGTAGTAAGAAAGCGACAATATCGTGGAGTCCTTTATACTTTTGCTGGGAAGAAATCGTAAATGGGTGTAAAAATGATAAAAATATGTTCAATTTCCATTATACGATAAATCTTTTGCAATTTTTATAATGGCCATGTGTCATTTGGTATGCTATTTGATAATATGGTCTCTATTTGCTATTGAATGATGCTAGTCCAGCGAAATGTGTTGCTTGTTTTATCATATTTTGTTCATCTTTTATTCAATGTCAGTTTACTTTTATACGAAGTATATGTATCATGCCATTAACATATTTCATGAATATTTAATTGAACGAATACAGTGCTCCTCTCTTTCAATGCGTAAGCTAGTTTGCTTCGAATATGCAATTGTGTATAGTTAAAACGTCTTATATTTCTTTGTTTGTTTATGAAGAGTACGGTAGTAAATAAGGGTCGTGACATGACATCATATCATTTTACAAAGTCTTCTCCATGACCTTAAAAGACTAAAATGCAAGATAATGTACTAACAGTGCTTGATCAAATAAAAAATGATTATCTTATTATAATTATACGTCAAAGAAACCTATGAAATCAGGCGATAATATTATCATGATAAGCATGCACTCTTTGAATGCAAACTGAAATTATATAATTGAAATAAGAATTAAAATTGTAATAAAAATTACCATATATAATAAAACTAGCATGAAAGTTCATGGACATCGCAAAATCAAAAATAACCATAACAGCATGCATTCTATAATACTATATACTCTTTAATTAAGATCGATATTTTCAAATACCCTTTCAAATGCAAAAGTGAGTAAAATTCCCTTAAGGTCAAATTATTATCTAGATATCGTTTCAAAGTGATAGACAGGAACAAGGTAACTACAGATTCGGTTGACTGAATTGTTCTATAAATATATTATAAAATGTAAACAGTTTATGCCCAGTATCACCCGCTGGAGCAGGATTAAGTTCAAAATATTAAAACATTATGATTTTGGTCACATGAACCTGGAAGTTATTTTCTAGTTTTTCTCCTATATAAAATAACATGGTATCAATGACAATACAACACTATTTTTTACAAGCATAATTATACATTCTCTTGATATTTTTTTCCACAAAAAATTATTTAGTATCAATAGTTTTGTTTGACGGTACCTTATATTTTAATAAAATATTATTTAATATTTATTCAATCATCTTCCAAAACAAAAATGTTAAATCATCAGTAGACGGGATTATATTTGATATTTGTTAGCTTCGAAGTAACAAAGAAATTGCGATTATAGATTCAAAATGATGTGTTCTGGTGTTAGCAGTGAAAGGGATATATTAAATAAAATAGTGCTTATAATAAATGTTAAATAGACATGCATGAAAATGGCGCATATTTGAAATGTTCATTATTTAGATGCAAAATGACCATATAATATGTATAAAACAAAAACGTTTGTTGTTTTTTTTCTGTTTCTTTCATTTTTTAAATGTATTCATGTGTGAACACGGAAATTATTCTAACACCAAATTTAAAGGTAAAGAGATGTTGTTGTTTATTTTTTTTTTTAAATCAGGTGTAAAATATCCTTACCGTCGAATCCCCGTCGTCACTACTATCTTGATCCTGAAAGAAGAATTCAGAATTAAAGTACTTAGTTTTACAAATAGGGAAATATGATCAGTCAAGTATAATGTTTTCAAAGTGTTATCTGATATAATTGAGTGTCAATATGTCAAAATGAAATAAAATAATCTTAATCTAACCAACACAATTTAAAGACAAACCCAACTTATCAGAACAAAATCCTGTAGATATTTAAAAAAAAACTTGTATGGCAGTCAACAGATGCAATTGTGAAATTTAGCGTACGTTTATGTGTTAATTCCAAGGAAATTGGTCGTCCTACACCTCTGATTCATACAAACATATAGAGAAAAGTTAACACATGATATGGAACGCAGGTAAAAAATTAAGTGTCATATTTTCGAAAGGCTAGCCTACGCTATGCTAAGATTTAGACTTATTTTATGATGCTATGAAATATAATAACTTGCTAGAAATCAAGTTTTTATTTACTTTCAAAATTCTTAAACTAAAGAAGACATAATTATTGTAATTATGATGCCAGACTTACGAGAATTGTCATACAGGATGTAAATGATGACAATAAACATCTTATCTTAAGTCTAAAGTAGATAGGAGATACAATATATGGTTACAAAGAAAAAAAAGTATAAGAAGAGCTGTCACTGAAAAGTGACATATGCTCCCGAAAGAAAGCTTTGACATAAAATTTCGTTATATGTGTAATATAATATAAGCCTCAACAAAGCTAAAACCAGAAAAAATAACCTTTGAGATTTCCACATATGAATGCCAAAATAGAAGTTCGATAACGATATATAAAGCTAAAATTTTGACGACTATATAACCTGTCAAATTACAAATGAAATATGGGCAAGTTTCTGCATTTAATTATTGCTGGATCAAGTTACACCGAACGTATCACAAGCGCGGACACGCTTATAGTACAGGAAAATTAAAAAAAAAAAGATAAGCGAAAATCAAATGACTATGCAAAACTAGGCGTGGTGACGAACAATACTTAGAAGTTTCACTGAAATCCCACAAAAGTGTTGTAGCATTGACAAGCATATTTTACTACAAAAAACCATTAAGGGACCATAAATGTGCCAAAAAACAAGGATGATATCAAAAGAGAATGCACTACTAGGTTTTGGAGATGAAGCGTGGACAAGCTTATTTCACTCGAAATTGACCATTGAGGGGGTCAGTGGGAAATTAAGATAATTTGCACAACTAAGCATGATGAAAAACAATCATGTGATGTTTCACTGATATCCATCCAGCGCTTTTTGAAATGAAGCGTGGTCAAAATTACCGGACAGACGGATGGATGGACTGACAGTGCAATAACTATATATGCTACCCTTCAACTGCATAAAAAGCAATCAAATACATATTGTTTAGAACTATAAAGACGAACATTTTTGAATATATACCAATATCTCAATCCATTGAGAAGTTGCAGCACAGATGTTTTGATCGAACAAACAATGCAAAATAGTGATTGTGGCAATTTGAGACATTTAAGATTGAGCATGCTTTTACAGAGGTTATGTTCCAGTCAACATTTGTGCCAAATTTCATTAGTATTGAATCATTTCTCATGGTTTCATAGAAGTTTGAACTTGTAACATTTAATAGATGCTATTGAAGAATGGGGGCTAATCAATTATTAAAGTGAAAGATATAGTGACAGGCAATGCTGCTAAAATGACATTAGCTGTGAGAATGACTGGAATACAAAATATCCTATGCCTTGTCCATTCTCTGAATTAAGCATCTTAAATTAATTTTAACTGTAACATTGATTTTGAAACTTCACAAGAGCTCCTTTGCTACAGCTATCCTTAAAGAAAAGCAATTTCACCTTACACTGCGATGTCATTAACTGCAGATTGATATTCAGACTAGATGAAATAGTTCATATGATATGATAGAGCGCTACTTAGAGCATCAAAACGCAGAACAGGCAACATTCCTATGTAAAGAAATAAGACAGAATGTAGCTGAATTCCAAGATAGATAAATACAGAATCCCTAAAGAAAGCCCAACACGGCAAAATTGAAAATGTTGCAGGCTCGGTTTGATTGAGCCTGTTCATGGACGGTACTGGAAAGTGCAAGTTACCGTCCACGCCCCCTAGCACCGGCTTAAGCAGAATTCAACATTTAAACATGAAATAGTAAAATTTTGAATTTAGAAACATCCGCAGATGTGTTCATACGGCGGTTATCATGGAACCTTCAATGTGACACTTCCGTGCCATTCCATGAAAAGCGGCGTATGGTCCCCAAGTAATAAAAAGCGTGTGCCCTAAACGAGAAAACAAGCCTTTTCGGACAACAATTGTGTTCTAGCTGAGGATTTCAAAAGGTAAACATAAATAACATAATACTTACACAGATATTTTGTGCAAACTAATTCTTAGGTTTTAATGATATGTCTTTAGTCAATTAATAAAGTTTCTTCAAAGGAAATTCCTGTTTTCTTTCCATAACTATCACATTAAAACATATGATAAATTTATAACCAGTTTAAATCTTATTGAGATACAATTTCTTATTAGATATTTCATTCTTTAATTATTGATTAATGTATATTGATTTGCCAAATTCATTTCTACCATTCAGATCATGGACCCTATGAAACACGCAACAGTAACATTGCATGAAGAGAGTGTTCTGACCGTGTATATTCTGCTTCTTTTACTTCACAGGTAAATATACACTTTCAGCAGCAAGACTGTGGTAGATCTCAAACAGGTCACTTTCAAAAATATATCTTTGAGGTACAAGTTCATGTAAATATTTTGGAGACTTTAAGTGTTATGTTAAGGTAAACCATAATGTTCAGTGTACTTCAACAGTAAATATGATGATAATTATTACAATATTATGCTTCACACAGTATTCAATTTGTTATTCCTTTTTTGCTCATTATTTAACAATCAGTTCTATTAAGAAGATGTTTTTAACGCGAAAACAAATAATTGTCAATAAATCAATAAATGTTAATTTTTTATAAATCTTGTTGATACAAATATATACTCAAGATATTTTTAAAAATCAGACTTCCTAATAGCAGCAGCTGCATTAGATCCTATATTAAAACTTTTGCCATTCTTGGATGAGGCAGATGGACAAAGAATATATGGTACTAGTATTTTGGAGAAAGAAAAATTATGTAATAAGTATACTTATTGAAAAATAAAAATTATAAATGCAAACATTAATAACTATTTAACAAGATAAAATAATAGATAGTAAAAGTAAGAGTATGCTTGTAAATGACTTACATAGTTCACTTTTACACATGGAAATTTACTTTAAAAGTGTACTGCTTGTATGAGACGTCAACATTTATCAATAAAATACAATGATATATATACATATTCAAGGTTGAATAGATGAAGAGCCAGGTGAATTTAGTAAATCGCCACAACTGACAATTGCTCAAGAGAGTTGAACAGACCAAGCTTCCACAGATCAAGCTTCCACAACATTCATTCAAACGTAAGCCGAACAAGATACTTAACGTTCTTCTCCAAAGAAAAATAGACAATCTCTAGGTGATTTAATTGAAGATGAACTTTATGTTGTCAGTGAAACTGCACCAAAGTCATGTTTTTGAATGTACTTGATGAGAAGCTAGTATACAGAAGAATCCCTACTTAAAATCATCTCGGAATTAAGACCATTTTTTCAAAGAACAGAATTGTTGTTCTTTATGTCAATGGTACCATGATCCAGCATTCAGACCACCTACTTTTGAGGCGACCAGATTCAATCCCAATTCTTTGTTTTGTTCTTTATTTGATCCAACCATTGAGACCACTGATTATAAAATCAACACTAATCTAGATCTTAAATGTGTTGTTATGTTGTTAGTTACTGCTTGAATGCTCCTTGGCATGACATTTCGTTTCACAATATATCTAAAACTGTTATTATATCGTATGAAATATGGTCAGAAACTAAATTTTAGATTGTTTTAATGTTGCTTTAAGCACATCTATTTTGTGAAGAATTAATTTCTATTTTTTTTTATTCAATACTGAAACCAAACAAATGCAATACTTGATCACGTTTACTACGGTAAATTTATCAGAAAGAGTAAACAATGGTAATTCATTAAATGCGACATAAAATCCCATGCAAATTAACCGTCCAATCGTATGAGAAATCTGATGACGTTTGTAAAGTTGGAGATTTCACGGCATCAACAATAACCAACTTTTAAGGAAATGAATTAGGTATAAGTCTTGTTATCGACATGATTGTTGTAAGAAAGCGACAATATCGTGGAGTACTTTAAACTTTTGCTGGGAAGAAATCGTAAATGGGTGTAAAAATGATAAAAAGATGTTAATTTCCATTATACGATAAATCTTTTGCAATTTTTATAATGGCCATGTGTCATTTGGTATGCTATTTGATAATATGGTCTCTATTTGCTATTGAATGATGCTAGTCCGGCGAAATGTGTTGCTTGTTTTATCATATTTTGTTCATCTTTTATTCAATGTCAGTTTACTTTTATACGAAGTGTATGTATCATGCCATTAACATATTTCATGAATATTTAATTGAACGAATACAGTGCTCCTCTCTTTCAATGCGTAAGCTAGTTTGCTTCGAATATGCAATAGTGTATAGTTAAAACGTCTTATATTTCTTTGTTTGTTTATGAAGAGTACGGTAGTAAATAAGGGTCGTGACATGACATCATATCATTTTACAAAGTCTTCTCCATGACCTTAAAAGACTAAAATGCAAGATAATGTACTAACAGTGCTTGATCAAATAAAAAATGATTATCTTATTTTAATGATCAACATTATTTTTTTGTCCAATCACATTGTAGTATTTTTCAAATTTCTGCTTAGTCTAACTTTTGTTAATGTGTACTAACTAAATAAAATTCACTTAATCTGTTGTCTAACCGCAGTCTAACAAATTTCAATAATGCATTATATTCGGGAGGAGTTAGAGGTATGGTTAACACTCTGATTTGTAAAATGTCAAGGTTAGCAAAACAATGCCAACATAAAAAAGGTCAGGTGTTTCTAAATGTGAGGATACAATCAATTGATTTATTACATAGATAATACATGTTGGGCACGCAGAGACAAATGATTACATAGTAACTTTTTTCATATCCTTTTAACACTAAGAACAATGTCTGCTATAAATTGCTGACTGTTTTAAACTTTTTTTTCTAGAAAAAGTACCCAAAACATAAATTTTTTTCTGCTGATAGAAATGAACTGCATAAACAATATTTGATATTAAGAATACAATGATTACATATTTTGACTGGAAAACTCATTGTAAATGGACCCCTCCACCTGTAAACCTAAATTGACACTCAGAAAAACTGTTTTTCAAATGAGCAAATCAATAGGGATTTTAAATATTAGTGAATAACTTAAAGCTAACAACGAATTTGTATAAATTATTAATCTAATGTATTTTCTCACATTTTCCATTTATTTATAAAGGATGTACACATTTCATTAACTCCATTGATTTTACCTAATTGCATCATTTTTCTTGCTGTTTTTTGGGGTTTTTTTTTTTCACAGATATTCTATAGAGACATGAGATAAAGGTATAAATTCTGTGACATTTCAGTAAACAAGAGCTGTCGGTAGGACAGCAACGCTCGACTATTCTTAGTGCTTGATAATTAAAAAAAAATGCTTGATACAGTTACCTCCTCCTGTTTACAGGTTGGGGTCATGATGGTGAACAAGTGTGCAAAGTTTTAAAGCCATATGTCAATGGACTTTGAAAATATTTGAACTATTACAAAAACTTTAAAGTAAATTCTAAGTCGAAAAAGGGGCATAATTCTGTCAAAATGCTTGATAGAGTTACCTCCTCCTGTTTACAGGTTAATTGGGGTCATGATGTTGAACAAGTATGCAAAGTTTCAAAGCCATATGTTAATGGACTTTGAAAATATTTGAACTATTACAAAAACTTTAACGTAAATTCTAAGTCGAAAAAGGGGCATAATTCTGTCAAAATGCTTGATACAGTTACCTCCTCCTGTTTACAGGTTGGGGTCATGATGGTGAACAAGTGTGCAAAGTTTCAAAGCCATATGTCAATGGACTTTGAAAATATTTGAACTATTACAAAAACTTTAACGTAAATTCTAAGTCAAAAAAGGGGCATAATTCTGTCAAAATGCTTGATACAGTTACCTCCTCTTGTCTACAGGTTGGGGTCATGATGGTGAACAAGTGTGCAAAGTTTTAAAGCCATATGTCAATGGACTTTGAAAAATATTTGAACTATTACAAAAACTTTAACGTAAATTCTAAGTCGAAAAAGGGCATAATTCTGTCAAAATGCTTGATAGAGTTACCTCCTCCTGTTTACAGGTTGGGGTCATGATGTTGAACAAGTGTGCAAAGTTTCAAAGCCATATGTCAATGGACTTTGAAAATATTTGAACTATTACAAAAACTTTAACGTAAATTCTAAGTCGAAAAAGGGGACATAATTCTGTCAAAATGCTTGATACAGTTACCTCATCTTGTCTACAGGTTGGGGTCATGATGGTGAACAAGTGTGCAAAGTTTTAAAGCCATATGTCAATGGACTTTGAAAATATTTGAACCATTACAAAAACTTTAACGTAAATTCTAAGTCGAAAAAGGGGCATAATTCTGTCAAAATGCTTGATAGAGTTACCTCCTCCTGTCTACAGGTTGGGGTCATGATGGTGAACAAGTGTGCAAAGTTTCAAAGCCATATGTCTATGGACTTTGAAAATATTTGAACTATTACAAAAACTTTAACATAAGTGGTTACGCCGACGCCGACGCTCGGGTGACTGCAATAGCTCTACTTATTCTTATCGAATAGTCGAGCTAAAAATGTGGCTGATTATTTGTTGATAGGGCCATTTATTTAGCTTATCTAAATGTGATATGTTAGAAACTTGACAAGGCGTAGACATCTTGTAGAGCGAAAGGGCGGAGCTATCGGTGATTTAGTGAAATGCCTTGTTTTTGGTTGAAAAAATAATGTTGATCATTAAATAGGTTAATGTTTAATAATATGCATTAACAAAAATAATTGGTCGCCTGCCTGCGGCAGGCTTGACCAATTATTTTTGTTAATGCATATTATTAAACACTAACCTATACATAATTATACGTCAAAGAAACCTATGAAATCAGGCGATAATATTATCATGATAAGCATGCACTCTTTGAATGCAAACTGAAATTATGTAATTGAAATAAGAATTAAAATTGTAATAAAAAACACCATATATAATAAAACTAGCATGAAAGTTCATGGACATCGCAAAATCAAAAATAACAATAACAGCATGCATTCTATAATACTATATACTCTTTAATTAAGATCGATATTTTCAAATACCCTTTTAAATGCAAAAGTGAGTAAAATTCCCTTTAGGGCAAATTATTATCTAGATATCGTTTCAAAGTGATAGACAGGAACAAGGTAACTACAGATTCGGTTGACTGAATTGTTCTATAAATATATTATAAAATGTAAACAGTTTATGCCCAGTATCACTAAGTTCAAAATATTAAAACATTATGATTTTGGTCACATGAACCTGGAAGTTATTTTCTAGTTTTTCTCCTATATAAAATATCATGGTATCAATGACACTACAACACTATTTTTTACAAGCATAATTATACATTCTCTTGATATTTTTTTCCACAAAAAATTATTTAGTATCAATAGTTTTGTTTGACGGTACCTTATATTTTAATAAAAATATTATTTAATATTTATTCAATCATCTTCCAAAACAAAAATGTTAAATCATCAGTAGACGGGATTATATTTTGATATTTGTTAGCTTCGAAGTAACAAAGAAATTGCGATTATAGATTCAAAATGATGTGTTCTGGTGTTAGCAGTGAAAGGGATATATTAAATAAAATAGTGCTTATAATAAATGTTAAATAGACATGCATGAAAATGGCGCATATTTGAAATGTTCATTATTTAGATGCAAAATGACCATATAATATGTATAAAACAAAAACGTTTGTTGTTTTTTTTCTGTTTCTTTCATTTTTTAAATGTATTCATGTGTGAACACGGAAATTATTCTAACACCAAATTTAAAGGTAAAGAGATGTTGTTGTTTATTTTTTTTTTTTAAATCAGGTGTAAAATATCCTTACCGTCGAATCCCCGTCGTCACTACTATCTTGATCCTGAAAGAAGAATTCAGAATTAAAGTACTTTAGTTTTACAAATAGGGAAATATGATCAGTCAAGTATAATGTTTTTCAAAGTGTTATCTGATATAATTGAGTGTCAATATGTCAAAATGAAAATAAAATAATCTTAATCTAACCAAACACAATTTAAAGACAAACCCAACTTATCAGAACAAAATCCTGTAGATATTTAAAAAAAAACTTGTATGGCAGTCAACAGATGCAATTGTGAAATTTAGCGTACGTTTATTTGTTAATTCCAAGGAAATTGGTCGTCCTACACCTCTGATTCATACAAACATATAGAGAAAAGTTAACAACACATGATATGGAACGCAGGTAAAAAAATAAGTGTCATATTTTCGAAAGGCTAGCCTACGCTATGCTAAGATTTAGACTTATTTTATGATGCTATGAAATATAATAACTTGCTAGAAATCAAGTTTTTATTTACTTTCAAAATTATTAAACTAAAGAAGACATAATTATTGTAATTATGATGCCAGACGTACGAAAATTGTCATACAGGGTGTAAATGATGACAATAAACATATTATCTTAAGTCTAAAGTAGATAGGAGATACAATATATGGTTACAAAGAAAAAAAAGTATAAGAAGAGCTGTCACTGAAAAATGACATATGCTCCCGAAAGAAAGCTTTGACATAAAATTTCGTTATATGTGTAATATAATATAAGCCTCAACAAAGCTAAAACCAGAAAAAAATAACCTTTGAGATTTCCACATATGAATGCCAAAATAGAAGTTCGATAACGATATATAAAGCTAAAATTTTGACGACTATATAACCTGTCAAATTACAAATGAAATATGGGCAAGTTTCTGCATTTAATTATTGCTGGATCAAGTTTCACCGAACGTATCACAAGCGCGGACACGCTTATAGTACAGGAAAATTAAAAAAAAAGATAAGCGAAAATCAAATGACTATGCAAAACTAGGCGTGGTGACGAACAATACTTAGAAGTTTCACTGAAATCCCACAAAAGTGTTGTAGCATTGACAAGCATATTTTACTACAAAAAAACCATTAAGGGACCATAAATGTGCCAAAAAACAAGGATAATATCAAAAGAGAATGCACTACTAGGTTTTGGAGATGAAGCGTGGACAAGCTTATTTCACTCGAAATATTATCATGATACGCATGCATTCTTTGAATGCAAACTGAAATTATATAATTGAAATAAGAATAAAATTATAATAAAAAGCACCATATCTTATAAAACTAGCATGAAAGTTCATGGACAAAGCGAAATCAAACATGTCAAAATTTAACATAACAACATGCATTCTATAATTCTAGATACTCTTTAATCAAGGTAATAATTTTCAAATAACCTTTCAAAAACAAAACTGACTAAAATTACATTTAGGTCAAATTTTTATCTGGATATCGTTTCAAAGCGAAAGAAAGGAATAAGGTAACTGCAGATTCGGTTGACTGAATTGTTCTATAAAGATATTATAAAATGCAAACAGTTTATGCCGCCCAGTATCACCCGCAGTTTGTTTGTGTTTAAATCAAAATGTTTAAACGTTATGATTTTGGTCACATGAACCTGGAAGTTATTTTTTAGTTTTTTCCCCTATATTAAATATCATGGTATCAATGACACTACAACATATAATATTTTACAAGCATATTTATACACTATATTGATATTATTCCCAAAAACTATTTAGTATTAATAGTTTTGTTTGACGGTATTTTATATTTTAATGAATATATAATTTAATATTTATTCAATCATCTTCCAAAACAAAAATGTTTAATCATCAGTAGACGGGATTGTATTTGATATTTGTTAGCTTCAAAGTAACAAAGAATTGCGATTATAGATTCAAATTGAAATGTTCGTATGTTAGCAGTGAAAGGGACATATAAAAGGACATAGTGCTTAAATTTGACATAGACATGCATCAAAAGGGCGCATATTTTAAATTTTCATTATTTAGATGCAAAATGACCATATGCATAAAACATAAACATTTGTTGTTTTTTTTGTGTCTTTCCTTTTTTAAATGTATTCATATGTGAACACGGAAATTATTCGAACACAAAATTTAAAGATTTAAAGGTAAAGAGATGTTGATGTTTTGTTTTTGTTTTTCCTTTTTATTTCTTTTTTCTAAATCAGGTGTAAATTATCCTTACCGTCAAATCCCCGTCGTCACTACTATCTTGATCCTGAAAGAAGATTTCAGTATTACATTACTTAGTTTTACAAAAACGGAAATATCAAGTCAAATGTCCATTCAAGTATAATGTTTTCAAAGTGTTAATTGAGTGTCAATATGTCAAAATGAAATAAAATAATCTTAATCTAAACAACAGAATTTAAAGACAAACCAGATAAGTCAAAAAACCTTGTATGGCAGTGAACAGATGCAATTGTGAAATTTAGCGTACGTTTATGAGACAATTCCAAGGAAAATTGGTTGTCCTACACCTCTGGTTCATACAAACATATAGAGAAAAGTTAACTCATGATATGGACCGCAGGTTAAAATTATAATATAAAGTCACTGCATTTAATTGTTTCTAGATCAAGTTTCACCGAACATATGACAAGCGCGGACACATTTTGCTTGATTTACATGTCACACAATGTTAGATATTTTGATCTTCCGTAGTTTCGAAAAAGGGTGAAGTAATAATTAATTACAAGATACTCTATTGACTGTTCAATAGATAACATTTTGTTTCAAGCATTACGAGTTCACCATACTGAAACAAAGAAATCAATAATAAAAATCTATGTCTTTCTAAAAAAGAATAGTCATGCATAAAAAGTATCAATTCAATGCTATTTGTGTCGGTAAAATCATATATCACGTAATTTAATACACTTCAGATTTTATTTAAGGTTCGATTAAATATTAAGGGATATTTTTTAGTTTGAGTGAAATATGGAATATATTTTCACGAAACATGATAAAATGCCACATATTTTGATGAGCCTGGATGGCGAGTGAAAATATGTGGCATTTTATCATGTAGAGTGAAACTATATACCATATTTCACGAGAAACGAAAAAATAACCTTTTAATTTAATTTCATTATCAAATATAGAGGGTAACGAACCCTCTTGCTTGCTACGCAGCTGCAATTATACAGCGCGCAGTAATATTAATTATTGTCTTGTTTTCCACGCAATATTTAGCGCTACATTGTGACGTCATGTAAACAAGTCTTTAAAAGACTGTACAGCTTTAATGACTGAATTAAAGATATTGGTGTTCGGATTTATTTTCTTAGTTAGACCATTTTCTATCATTCTAGATAGTTTTCAAAAGAAAATTCAACAAAAAGTTGTTTTGTATTTATCATAATTTTCAAACAAAATGGCAAAAGAAGCCCCTCAAAATAAATGTGAATTTTGACATCGCCCACTTTCGTATTTATATGCCATATTTATATAAAAAATAATATGAAATATATTTGACTGATATAGCACCATATTTTATGGGTAGAATAAATTAAATAGTGAAATTTTCAAATAAATATTTTTATATTATTCATATTCCAGCTTGTAATTAAATACAGAGAAATTTTGATAATAACTGAAATATAATTATATATTCTACAACTAAATTTATGCTTGTTGGTATGACTTATGAAGCCGTGAGGATGATCATTAACAAAAAACGGATCATCATTAAAATAACTAGCACAAGTGACATAATCTGGTTTAGTGTCCAACTTTATTTGTTAACCAATGGGAACGCTGTATTTCTTCAACATTATGTGTGTTAATTTTCATAGAAAAACACAAGTCAAAACTATAACAAATTCCGTTCATTATCGCTTTCTATTTTACTTAGTGTTTCATTGTAAAAATTGTCATTTGCAAAAATTTAAACATGTGTTTTCGTGGGTCGCTTTTATATTGACGAAGTAAAAATGACGTCAATAGGTCAACCTACATTTATTCTGCATTTATTGTTAAAGGATATACATGAAGTCAGATTTAAATCCACGTCTTGCCGAAAAAGATTCTGCACGTGTAATAGTAAAAACAATATAAAATGACAATTAATATTTTTACATAACGAATGTAGGAACAGGTCTTTATTAATTTATATCTAAAAGGAAAAGCACGTGTGTCTACCGGCAGACAGAAAGAGAAAGTTTTCATTATGTTTTTGAAAATACATTACGTGACCTCGTGTTAACACATGGCATGTGGCGTATACATGTCTAAATTATATATCAAGATATTAAGTACTGAGTATCAATTATTTAAGTCTTGTAAGTCATGAAAATGTTTGTCGAAAATAAATGTTTAAATATCGAGCAAATGAAATCTCGCATCAGTCAATGCCGTTCTCCATATTTCCCAAATGAGACACAAGGGTCTTCTCGCCCAAAAAATGATGAAAATCATGCACATTTATAAGGACAATTTTTAAAAACATAAGTGACATAAGAACGTGAATATTAATGAGGCCAACTAAAGTTTGACACTATGTATGTTAGTATTCATCCGTAGCTGTTCTACAGAAAAAAAACATTTTCCGGTCGGTGTCACTTCCGTTTAAGTTTCTAGTTTCTGTAGAAGAGCACGGATGAACACTAACATATACCTAATGTTATATCTGTTAAGCATATGCTCCCTGGTGATTTATAATATTATTTAAGTTTAAAATAAATACTCGTGCCTTGAGAAGTAATATTGCACATGATTGTTCTTCGTGAAAAACTTTTATCAGAAATTTGGACGCCCCCGCCGACGCTAGATGAGTGGGACAGCTCTCAATATACTTCCCATATTAAAGCTTAAAATGATGTACATAATAATTATAGTTTTGTATGATCTTAAGTAATATTTCAATGCCAATGGAAATATAATTCACTCTCAGTTGAATTATGTACCAACACGTTTAAATCAACAGTATGTGTGATGTGTGATTCTGATTGATATTTATTTTTAAAAAGTGAAAAGTAAACAAATAGGCATATATTTTGTTAGAAGAATTTCTGCATGCATAACAGTTTAAAGAATGAAAGTTAGGGGGGGGGGTTAACTAAAGCGTTATATAAACTTACCGTCTCTGAAGAGTCTGAAGCCACGTCACTATTACTGTCTTGATCCTGAAAGAAGAGTTCAGTATTAAATGTCTTAGGTTTTGAGCAAAAATTAGTAATTACAAATAACCAAATTTGTCTAGTAAAGCAAAATGTTTCATGCGTGTTACATGAGATGATTGTCAATTGTTCAAACTAATCTCCACAATTGATCAACCCTAATGGTAGACAAAAAATAAGCCCGTATTTAAACTTTTAAAGGCATCAAGACAGTGTATAGAATCATTATTATTTTAAAATTCAATAGTTGAATTAACTTATATTCTATCAATAAGATTAACTTACCGACATTATGTTTTAAGATTAACAAATATTTCCAACCTGAAAGAAAAAAAAAACAATAAAAAAACGTATTGTTCGTTTTTGCTAATTAAAACCTAAAAGAAGAAATATATGTTTATAAAAGCAAGTTATTTTATAATTTAAGTATCTGTAAGGGTCTTATAATATTTAAATGAGACAGATGATGTCATAATTAGTCAAACTAGTAACTAATCAAAAGTAAGGGTTAAATAAGTACAAAACGGTTGGTATTGATTTAGCATTTTTCTTTGACATTAATAAGTACATCTTGTTCTTTCTTAATACCAGAATTTTACTATTCAGATTTTTCCAGATTACGATATGTGAAGTTTCGTTTCATGTGCTCCATATAGTAAACTCTGCTTTTAACGATATTCAGGAGACCGCCGAATTGATACTGTTATATCCGATATTGTTATATCCGATATTGTTATATCCGAAAGGAAACTAACTTGAAATAAATGCCGACACCCTGGCAAGAGTATCGTTATAAGCGATATATCTTTATATTAACCCATTACTTCATATACACGCCTTTTAACGCCTTTTTCACCCCCCCCCCCTTTTTGTTGTCTCAAATGATGAAAAAATGCCTTATTTAGGCCCCAAACACTTGTTTTTGTTTGAGAAATGTTGTTAAAAAAAGTGACCTCTTTTTCGGCGCGGCCCCCCAACCAAATGATACATCAGGGGGTTGCCAAGAAAATTTTGGACTTGTGAGAGGCTGTAAATGACCCCAGATTGATCATAAGGTATCATGTAACCAACGTTGAAAAGCATTTGACTCTATCTCAATCCATTGAGAAGTTGCAGCACTTTGAAATCAATTTTGATGGAAAAAATCAACGCAAAATAGTGATTTTTGGCAATTTTGAGATGTCCCCTCGTTGCCATGGTAACAGAAAATTTAAGCCTGAGCATGTTGTTGCAAGGGCAATGGTCCAGTCAACATTTGTGCCAAGTTTGATTAGTGTTGAAGCAGTTTTTATAGTATTATAGCAATTTGAACTTGTAACGGGAGACTTTTCAATGAAAACAGCCATTTTTCACAAAATGCTCATGAAGTAATGGGTTAAGTGATATCGTTATATTAAGTGTAGTTTACTATATATGTATTACAACACTGACAATGACAACACAAATCAGTTGCAAGGTTACATAAAAAAGACAACAGTCACTCCTAGGATATCACCCATATAAATTTTGCAATATAAACTACAAGTTGGAGTTTGTGTGCATACATAACGTATGTGTCCTAGTATGAATTATTCTATGTTTTTATATGACATAGTCTGTTTGTATGTATGTATGAATTTTTGTATGTATGTATGTATGTATGTATGTATGTTTGTATGTCCAACATTTTATCCTGGTAAATGTATGTTTCATATGAATTCTTTGCATTAAATGCTTTCTTTCTGTAACTTTATAATTTATATTTTAAACTACCACTTTATTCAACGATAAAACCAGAGAAGCGTCAATAACAAAGAGCTACGTAGTTAATCAACCTTTAACTTTAAACGTATCTATTTAAAACGTCTTCCTGTGTAATAGATACTCTTGTTACCAAAAAAAAAGTGTTTTGCTTTTATGATAATTTACTGAAATCGTACATGCATTATTTATGTAGCATTATGCGTTTCTATTTAATTCATTTTATAATGTAAAAACAAAAATTTCTCACAAATGGCTTCTTTTTGGAACTTGAGTTGTTTTGATTTGTTTTTTAGCCCATAGTTACGAGACAAATTATGACAACACGTCTTGAAAGTATGATTAAACTTTGTTTTCAATTAGCTTGTGTTCCGACTGTAACACTTAAAGTACTTGCAATCAAATTATGTATATGAAATAAATTTATACAATTAATCAAATTAATAGAAATATGTTTCTTACCTTTGTACTTTTTATTTTGTCATGATATGAAAAAATCCCAATATGCTATAAATATAATCGCACATCTTCGGATCTTTAATTAATTCAATTACTGAATGACAAGGCTCAATAACTATGTCAAACAATAGAGCATATGAGGTGATTAGATTTGACACAATTGGCATAAATGTATGTATGGTACATGTGACTTTTTGCACTGCAAAAATATCAATATTTCATTATCAATTTCAGATACATCAATGTATACGTATTCCTTAGAGTGACAGAAGCGAGACACTCGTACTGGATCATTTTTTTTATACTTTACTTCTATTACGTGGTTTACAGTGTATCTGTCTTTATGCAGTTTTTGTATACATTTTTGTTACATTTTTAAATAACAGTTACTAATATCTGCAGTTTGTTCAATTGTATCGGTACCGTGAATATAATAAATCTACCAATGTACAAAGACTGTCGTTTAACTTCTTTGTCTGAAGTTTATTTTACGCCAATGTATCTTAACATAATTGTCAATGTTATATTTTTTCCGTTAATCAAGCGGGATTAACATACGTATATCAATACGTGTGTTTAAAGTATGTTCAATTATAGTAAAATGTTTATAGGTTGGTGATGTATAACATAATCATAAAATGTAAAGTAAAACTTAACAAGTCCTTAAAAATAGAAAAATTTAATTCAATTTGACATAGGATGATGTAAAAGTGTTATTAATTACTTAGATATTGTAGACGAATTTAATTGATTAGTGTCATTGACGAGTGTGCATAATAATATATAATATAATATATTATTTAATTTTACCCATGAAATATGGTGCTATATCAGTCAAATATATTTCATATTTTTTAAAAATAAATATGAAATATAAATATGAAAGTGGGCGGAGTCAAAACTCATATTTATTTTCAGGGACTTCTTTCGCCGTTTTGTTTGAAAAATCTGATAAATACAAAACAACTTTTTCTTGAATTTTGTTTTGAAAACTATCTAGCATGATAGAAAATGGTCTAACTAAGAAAATTAATCCGAACACCAATATCTTTAATTCAGTAATTAACGCTGTACAGACGTTTAAAGAGTTGTTTACATGACGTCACAATGTAGCGCCAAACAGCGCGTGCTTACGCATAAATTACTGCGCGCTGTACAATTGCAGTTGGTAGCAAGCAAGGGGATTCGTTACCATTTTCTTTGATAATGAAATTAAATAAAAAGGTTATTTTTTCGTTTTTCGTGAAATATGGTATATATTTTCACTCAACATGATAAAATGCCACATATTTTCACTCGCCGTACCGGCTCGTGAAAATATGTGGCATTTTATCATGTTTCGTGAAAATATATTCCATATTTCACGCAAACGAAAAAATATCCTCTTAATATAACAATTATAATTGTTATGATCAAATTTCCTCAAAGTTTTAAACGAAGACAAATTAATTTTTTTAAAGTCCCAAAATAGACCTGTATGAAAAAAGTAGATTTAATTGGCCTCTTTGTGTTAAAGTTTACCGATATTGAACTTTCATGTAACTAGTTTAGCAAATGAATAATATTTGAATTACTATTCTTTACAGTTATTCTAAAACAACAGGCGAAATATAACTATGTACAATAATTATGATGGTTTTTCATTTATAATTTTAATATTATTATAGTAACATCTTATGAAACTGGCAGAGGGAAATTTATTGATAAATCACTATGATGTTTATCGTGTTCTTGATACAGTAAAATTTAACTCTCGAACCGAACAAAATAAGTACGGCATAAAAAATCATGATTTTAGTTCACCAGTTCGCATACCCGTTATAACGTTTATCAATTCGAACACGCACTCGAAGTATGAGGAATGTTTCCATGAGTCTTCTTTTGACGACATTTATTAAAAGTGTCATCACCTTTTCCTAATTTTAATTTTGATACAAATAGAGTTTTGTCAATAATGAAGGGCAATTTCATAATTATAGCATCGATAGGTATTATCAAGGATAGGTATGATTTTGACTAAAAAACATAATTACAAATGTATTTTCAATTTTTTAATCAAATTAAACTGTTATGACTGTTAAACTTGCAGTTAGACATCATATAGTCGTATGGTGAATTGACCCTTTTTATAACAAATCGTCAGTTGAGTAGCATTCGTAAGCAACTATGATAAAAACATTGGTGTCATATACACTACCAAATCATTACTCAAAAGATGTTGACTTTGTAATTCTTTTATGCATGCTTCTATGACTCACAGTTCCCCAATGAAACCATTTTAATAAGATATTACAAATATTCAGACAAGTTCAGTGATGTGTGAAAGTCCCTATCATGTTGATGATACTACTTGTGGGTCGTGTGATATTGTTTTTCATTTCGAAGTATAAATCACTCAGAGCAAATTGAATTAGAAACAAAGAGCATGCTGCGTCTAAACAATTAAGATTATTTATTTTGGTACAACGTACACCCCTCTCACGCTCATGTTATTTGTAAACAAGCATATGTTTGTAAATGTAAAATATGTATGCCCGTAATGCCAGACAATAATATATTTCCCATTTATACCACCATTCTTAAAAAGTTATTTCAAAATTTACTTAGGGTGCACATCCTATGTATGAGGTATTTATTTAAACCAAGATAGTGCATACTTGTATACCAAAATGGTATGAAAAGCTGAATGTAACAAATTTTACATAATATAACGGTCTAATTTTGAAAGAGTTACAGCATAAAATGTCTCACATGTGTATTGCACGAAAACATTAAACTGCTCCGGAATAAGAAAGTATGCTGCCATTTTATGTAAGGGTTTTTGGCTGGCGATATATCTCTAGAACATAGTTAACATTTTTGGGATGTCGCGCAGTTTATTCTGTCTGTCGTTACAAAGACTTTGTGCCAGTCTTGTTATTTAGTGAAACACAAAACCTGAAGAAATGATCGAAATTCAATGATGATCAAGACAGGAATGATCGAATTTATGCATAGTTCACAATATTTCCCTCAGTGCAAACTGCATAATTATCTATGATTTTATCAGGATATTTCTTTATGTACTGAAAGAACAAGGTAACATATATCAA